AGGCGAAATGTATTGTTCCCCTGCCTGGTGATGAGGATTATGATGGCGGGAAGGAATCTTCTCCCTCGCTTTGTTGTAGTGAGTCCACCCCCTCTGTTTAAGGCTGATTTTTCTCTCTTAACATCCATGGCTTCCTTCACACCCCTTTCAAACCACCTGTCGTCTTTGTCATGTTCACATTTTGGACAAAGAAGGCAGGCGGTTTGTGTGTACAAAATGACAATAAAGTCTGTCTAAGTCTAAAGGCTGGTTTATGCTCAGAAACCAGGTCATCTGCGTGTGTTTGTCGCAGTTAACGTAGATTTGCACCCCCTTCCGCAGACACTCTGGTGCACCTCTCCAAAATTGTAGGTGACCCCAGACAGGAGGCCTCTGATTGGTCAAATCTACGTCCGCTCTACACTATGCGTATTTCCTGTTTGGTACCTTACTAGCTTGTTTTGTTTGTATGATCGCCATTGCGGAAATCTGTTTGTGAAGATGAAGCATCTAGAAGAGTGAGGTGCGCGATAACGTTGGGACCCTTTTACCACCTGGATCCCCGCTCTTTTTCGCCCTCATGTCCCTCTATTGTAGCACTAACATGTCACTTGTTTTTTTTCCACTTCCTCACCGCCTCAGCCATATCTAGAACCACAGCTAGCTCATGACCATGGTTCAAATATTGGGCATAAATCAAAAATATCTGCGCCACACCTGCGATAAGCTCAATGCGACACACTGCTGCGGGAGTATAACCAGCCCTTAAGTCTAAAATTCAGTTCAGTTTATTTCTATAGCGCCAATTCACAACACGTCATCTCAAGGCACTTTACCGTTCAACCAGATCATACAGTCAAATTGATTCAAAGTTTTCTATCTAAGGAAAACCAGTGGATTGCATCGACTCATTGACTCGAATGCTAAGCCTCAGTTATGACTTTAAACTGGTGGGATTCAGAGAATCGTCGCAGCTTGGTGCTATGTTGATGACATCAATGCCTGCATCTTTGGGGGAGTGGTGGCCTAGGGGTTAGGGCATAGGGCCCCAACCACACCACCACAGACTGTCACTCTGGGTCCCTCAGCAAAGACCCTTAACCTCACACAGCTCCCAGGGTGCCGCAAATGGCAGCCCAAGGGGATGGGTTAAATGCAGAGAGTGAATTTCATTGTGCTGTACTTGTGAGAGTGTAATGAAAATAAAATGGTGGAAAAAAAAAATAAAAAATCTTGGTACAGTCCTCCTGAGAGAGTGGCCTGGTCTCTCCGTCTCTCAAAAAGGCCTTTAATATTTCCTAACCAGGAACAGGAAGGTCCTGATTGCGACAGACGGGACCCAGATGGGCAGCGGGGTCTTGAATTAAGTGCCAGCTCTTCAAAATCATAAACAGCATCCCTAGCTTTTGCTTCAGACCATCGATTTAGTTTAGTTTGAAGAACTGTTGCATAAAAGTAAAAAATGTTCAAATTCCACAGAGAAAACTTTGACACACTCACTGAAACACTGGTTGACTCACTCGGTGAGGTAAAATGTGCCGACATATATCACTTGTACTTAACTACAGTAGTCAGCAATGGTGAGTGTCCAGCCACCTTCGGATTGGGCCGCCTTATAAGAAAAAATAGGCTGACTTCAGCTGCCTATGACCTGTTTCCCCCATCACCCTATACCTCCATCTAACACCTCGCTCCCAGGCCTGTGCAGAGCTGAACGTCTATAATGTTTGAGCCATTTGATTCAGGCGTGTAGAAGAAGATAGAAAATGACGGGGTGGATCTTTAATGGTAGACTTCTCTAAGAAAGTAAGGCAAAGGTTAAGTAAAATTCCCTGCTGTCTCTGTGCCATCACCCATCCTCCACTCCTCTATCACAGCCAGGGTGTAGTTCCCTCTACAAAGCACCCCGGGGCATTCTGTCTATGTTTGCATGTCTCTTTGTCTCAGCCAGGCCTTATCTCTGTTAGCGCATGTGTGTTCGTGCCTACTGATAAGCATACGCTTTCAGCTGAATAGCTGTTAATTTGTCCATGTTTACATCCACATACTATATATATGCCTCTGCTTCTTCATGTGGACAATTCATACTGAGATACCACTATCCTCTGGTCTGGTAACCATGAAAGTTCAAACATAGACACAGTGAGAAGAATTGTTTGCTTTAACAGCGCTTTAACGAGGCTATTAGTATCTGATAAGATGTTGACCTTTTTTAACCTCCCACAGAAGCTAACTTGAATCTAAATCATATATATGATCTCCTGCTCATTAAAACAATTTATCCCCCTTTAAAGACAAAAAAAGGCATATAGTTATAAACTAGATAAGCTCTTTTAAAAACACACAATGTCTAGATCTGCTAAATAAATGTGAATACAGTCGTAATACCAAAGATATAATACCACGGCTGTAACACACCCATTGAAAGTGAAACATAGAGTGTAATATTCCTGCTTCCTGAAGCAAAAACTGACTTTGAGTAGCAATTAGCATAGAACCATATACACATTGTTTTTTTTTTAATAGAGCCTAGGGGGAAGTTCCACTTTAGAAACTGATTTCTCTCCTACATCCACCTACGACACAGCCAATCAGCTTTGTCGTCATGCCCTCAAAACCCCGCCCACTTTGCATCCAGAAATTCAAAACACATCTCTACGTTGTGATTGGCCGGCCAGATTTAGGGCCTGGGGCATTGATGGAGGCTAGACCAATCGCAGGCAAAAATGATTTTGGCTGCTGGCGGGTGGGGCTAGTTTACTAGTCTATAGTAACGAATTATTTCTACTTCTACTTGACACCTCTATACATATGTGTGTGTTAATGTGTATTTGAATCATATATTCATTTAATAACATTTACCTTGTGTAACAAAAAAAGAACTGAAAGCATTGGGATTCACAGAAAAACTAAACAAACAAATAACAATAATTAATCCTTTATAGGACAAGTTACCGTTTCTGTCGGCCTCAGCAGATGGCCGCTCACACTAAGCCTTGTTCTGCTGGAGGTTTCTTCCCTTAGATAGAAAACTTTGTATCAATTTGACTGGATGATCTGGTTGAACTGTAAAGTGCCTTGAGATGACATGTGTTGTGAATTTGGCGCTATATAAATAAACTGAATTGAATTGAACTTGTGTACCTCTTACAAATGGAGTCCCACCCATCCCTCAGTAAGGTCTAGAAGCACAAGATCTATATCCAGCCATTCAGCAAAGATCCTGCTACATGGCTGTACATGTTATTTTGGCGTTTGACCAATTAGATGAGCCCTTGAATGATCTATTACCTACTGTAAATTAAATTGAAAAAAACGTTAACAAGTCAATCAATGGCATAACGACACAACATTATCTGGGTGGGCCCCATATGAAGTACAACACCCCACCCCCCCAACCATCTAATGAACTACACACAGTTATTAACATAGTAATTAAAAGTACCACTGTCTGCTTTGCTTTTGGGGTCATGTTTAAACGCCTTCACAATCATGTTGAAATCTGGCACGTGTTGTGGTATAAATAAGGTCCGGTCAGACAGACTGGCATCAGGTGGGTAAAATAGGAATTTTTCACACCATTATGTCTGCAAAGAGACGTATAGTCCACAATTGCGTAGAGGACCTACCAGGAGTCAGTGATGGGGCCCCTAAGAGGTCGGCGGCCCCTAAACAACTGCAGTCTCTGCTTGCAGATATTTAAAAGCTAATTGAAACGTTAAAAAGTAAAGTTCAAAAGTTAATAAGCCTAGTTAACTAGGCTTTTTTTTTTTGAACTTTACTTTTTAAAGATTAGATAACAGTTTACAGTTTAAAGATTAGTTAACAATTATATTTAGGTTTATAAACTAAAACATTTTTGTGCCAGTATCAGTATTAAGGCCTCTAAGGTTATGTTGTACCAAAAAAATGTGTTTCTTTCACTCTCAGTGTGTTTCTTTTAATGAATTTCTTATAGTAGCCCTTTAAATATATATATATATATATATATATATATATATATATATATATATATATATATATATATATATATACAGAGATGGCAAAAAGTACTCACTTTCCGTACTTGAGTAAAAGTACAGATACTTGTGTTAAAAAATACTCTGGTAAAATTGGAAGTACTGATTAAACTTCTTTACTCAAGTAAAAGTAACAAAGTACAGGCTTGTAAATTTACCTTAAGTATAAAAGTAAAAGTAGAAACCACTTTTTTCATGCCGTTGCCTACATTTTAAATGGATGTCTGCCAATAGGACTAGATCTCCATTCTGTTCATTTTCAATCATCTCGTCGTCCATGCTACTATGCTAACGCCACCGCCACCAAGCTGCAATGATTTGCCGCGAATGAATACCGCCGAATCTGTCGATTCATCTTGTAGTGGTGCGTCAAATGCAACGTAGATTCCCATCCAATTAGATTGAATTTGGTATTGATGACGTGAAAAATAATAACGGTAACTCCATTGAAATGATTCAAAACTAAACTAACGAGCCAATTTTTTAAAATGTAAGGAGTAGAAAGTACAGATATTTGTGTAAAAATATAAGGAGTAGAAGTAAAAAGTCGCCATAAAAATAAGTAGTAAAGTAAAGTAAAAATATCAGAAAAATCTACTTGAGTACAGTAATGAAGTATTTGTACTGTCCCATCTCTGTGTATATATATATATATATATATATATAAATATCCATATATTTTTTTTATGTTTCAAAGATAATAAGGAAATTTAGATTTTCCCTGAGTGCCCTATAAAGGGTTAATAATGAACATTTTAAGGGAAATATTGCTCTAATATAAATTGAGAGGAAGATAAAAACTACAAAAAGCTAATTTTTGGCTACTTAGTGAGTAATTTACTCCAATATTTCTGAATGATTATTAAGCAGCTAAGAGTAACCCGCAGCCTTTCTCATACTGCGACACCCATTTTGATGTTTGTGTGCCTGGAGTGAGCTTCCTGCAGAGAGCAGCTCGGGCCCGGCTCATTTTCGCCTGGCGGGTCAGCCGCTCTGTGTCTGAAGCTGCTGCTACGGAACCGTTTGGCTCTTTTCTCTACTAGCGAGCAACAGTACACTGAACCCCCAACTGTACAACCAGCTCCATTTTAAGGGGATTTATCGCCACACATGCCCGCATATTCAACACACATCGCCCAGTGGGGATTCCAGGTACCGCTCGGCCGGTTCGGAGGGCTGTTATAACGCTCTTTTCGAGGTTTAATTAGAGCTTGAAAACAGCGCTGCTGGTGGAGGAGATTCCATATTAGGAGCACAGAGGAGAAGGCACCCCCCTCCTGGAGCTTTAGGTGAGTGTTTCTCATATTTCGGCTTTATTATCGCGGTAATAAATGGTAGCCGTGCGTGTGGCGGGGCTGTGTGGGGAACCAGCGCAGGTTTTGGGCGGATTATAACGCGTTTTTTGCTGTATATTTGGACATTTTTGTTTCAGAGTGGGGGATGGGCAGCGCCAGCGCGTGAGTAAGGCGCGCGCGTGTTGTGCACGTGTTCACTGAGCCGTTTTCGTGCGTGGTTTGTGTTTGTCAGCGCGCGCGGTTTGTGTTTGTCAGCGCGCGCTTCCTTCCTGTTAGCTGTAAATGAAAGGCTCTGTAGTCATTTTTAACCTCAATCATTTAGAGAATGTTTCCAACATGGTTGGAGTTTACTGCTGAGATTAAACGCCTGTGTTCAGGACGGCTATGTACTTGGCAACTTTTTATTTTTACTTTAACTTTAAAGAATTTGTACGACTTAGTTTTTATTTTCTTCTTAGGTATTTCAGCCTTTTGTTATGTAATTGTTTGTTTAGGTTAACAGGTATCAACGTAAAGTAGTTTTGTGCAGCAGCACATGGTTGTATACACAACCTCCTAATCTGAGCTTAAGTTCAAACTAAAGCTGCACTTTGGCCTAAAAAGTTTCACCAAAGTCTTAATTAGCTTCCCTCTAGGTTGATTGAAAGTTTACTAGAGTGCGGAGCTGCTGATTGCTCTAAAAGCATGAGGTGGGGGAGGGGCAGACACACACTAACTCCTGCACAGCTGAGGTGACCAATGCAAACCTTGGGAATCTCAACTCTGACATAATGTACTTGTCCCAGATTAGCCTTCTGTTACAAGGTGTTTTTAAACCGCCTGCTTGGATTAAGGTTTCTATAACTTTTTTTTTCATAGTTGTTAAAAAGTACATGTGATTTAATTTGCAATAAATAAAATCCACAATTGAAACCTTAAAGGAACAATAAGGAACATTTCAGTCCAATTCAGACCAAACCAACACTACATTTTAATACAAGCTTCTATAATATGACACAAGATGTAAATAGTTATACTAATTAATAATTTGATGTATTTCTTTGGTAAAATTCAGACTGATGACACATCATGTGATTTAAGGCCAATTTATGCTTCTGACGCATAGCCGCTCCAGTCTCTGTGAACGACCACGCACCGCCTCAAAAAAATTCCTGACTACGCCTCGGACCCGCGCAGACAAAAAGCAGCTGTGATTGGTCCTTGGTATGCCTTTTCGGCTGTCCCTGTGGTCGTCCTTCTTGATTCGGTGCTGGGGCGCGCCATTTTTAAAAACCGAGGAACAACTACGATGGACAACCTACGTGTCCTCCTTTGTCTTTTTGCCAACTCCCTTAATAGAACCTGTTCTTCTTCGATGTCTAGCGACTCTAGATACATCTCTGTGACCGTGATATCTTGCAGGCGCGCCATTGTTGTTTTGGAAGATAAACACTCCCGCCGGCGTCGTTGAAGTTCTCGTGACTATCCACTGAAAGTCTCGTGAGTTCTGGAATAGGCTCCGCCTTGTGCTTTTGTGGAAAACTGCTCTTTGTCCCTAGTAATTCCTGACCGACGGTGCAGAAGCATACCATCCGAACTGTTTCATACCCAAGCAACATTTATACCCCATTTACACTACCCTTGAAAAACCAATACATGCCGAGACCGGTCCGAGCTCGGATCAGTTAACAGGGCCGAGCTTGGTTCTGACGACCGTTTACACAACACGCTATCTCGGTTCCTAGACTCCTCGCCTCCTAGTGACGATCTGCGGTATTACTGCCAGTATTGATGCAGAAGGTGGCGGTAATGCACCAAAATTTATTTGCCAACCGCCATAAAACACAAGAAGAAGATGAAGAAGGAGGGAATCAAGCAAATCAAAATGTTGCGTGGAGAAGATTTCGATTGTTGTTTATAGTTGTTCTTCTTCTGTTTTGTGTTGGTTGGCAAGCAACTTCCGGAGGGGCATTACCGCCAACTACTGGAATGGAGTGTGAATCGGGATGTGCAGCCAGACGGAGATGACGCGTTCTGCTCATGCGCTCTTGTTATCAGAGAACCGAGCCAGGGAAAAACCGAGCCGAGCCCACCTCTGGAACTGGTCTGCAGTTAGCTCGGTCCGGTTGTGTCTAGCTCGGTTCAGTTCAGTTTGCTTTCCATTTACACACGATAAGTTATCTCAGTTACTGTGCTCGGACCGGTCTCGTCCCGGTTTTTCAAGGGTAGTGTAAATGGGTTATATATGTGTGCGGTTGCTGAATTCTAATCTGCCCTTAATGCTGGATTAAATGCTTGTATAATGAAGAAAGTCATCATTTGGATGCTAGCAAAGTTAGTAATGAAGCAAAGGCGCAAAATGTCCAGAAATCTGAAGTTCTCCTCCCCTCCCGTTGAGCCACATTAGACCAATCATCGGAGGGTTTATACTGCTTAAAAAGGCATCAGCTTTGTACCTTTGATTGTTGCTAAACTACTGAAAAACATCACATTTTTGGGGCAGGTGAGATCCTGGACCTCTGGGCCCGCTGCCTTTTTATGTTTGAGAGTTGTTGTTTTTTTTTTCCTTCATGAATGAACGATTAGCAGGCTGCTTAAGTCAAGCAGTGGTTTGAATCGTCTGTTTGAGGTTTGAGGCGTCTAAAACATGCAGATTGGTCGACGGGTCAAACAGGAACTAGATGATCAAGATTATCAGTTTGTCTGTGTAACACAGAAATAACATTTTTATTTTCTTTTGGCATCCTGTAGTGACCGGTGTGGGTCCAGATAAGAACATGTGATCCCTTCATCGCTGTATACCTTTCTGTATACTGAATCTGGTGCTTTTATTTTGAAGTTTCTGTGTTTTCCCTGTGTTTTTGGTGTCACTTTGCGTGAATAATGAGCCTTTGCTCTGGTTAACATATTGGATGACATAAGTTACTCATACCAGGGTTTCCACGGGTCAATAAAAATCATTAAAATTCATTAAATTATTATTTTTTAAATCAAGGCCTTAATTGGCATTAAAAATCATTAAATGTGTTTATCATGGGATTTAAAATGCTGTATTTAATAAAAAAAAGTTTATAAAAACAATTTCTTCGGATATATTATATCACGATATATGGACGGAAAGAAAACGAGGAATTCAGGGCATGGCTGCAGCCTGTTGACAGTTAAGATGACAATGGATTTTACTGCATTATATATACATATATATATGAGAGTCATGGGTGTTTGTTGATGGCAAAAAAGTTATTTTTAAGAGCATTAAAAAGCATTAAAGGGGAACGCCGTTTTTTTTTTTTTACATTTGGCCCATTTGGACGTTATTACATCATTTTCTACTCACCCAGTTTTGTGTCATTTCTAGCTGTTCTGAAGATATTCCGTTAGGTTATATCCAAGTAACATCTTCCTATGGGCAAACGACGTGAAGGCACAAACTAAACTGTTCATAATTTATCATTTATGGTGCGCCGGCATTTATACCATGTAGGCGAATCACTGTTCCCCAGACTTCTGCGGTTATATTATTATATTTATATAAACAAAGTGTCGCGTGTATGACGTCGGGCGAATTCACACAAAGCGCCGAGTTGACGTAAGCTCGCCACCGACTTGACCGGACCTCAGCAGAGAGCCATGAGGCGAGTGGGCCTGCAAGGCAGGAGGGGGGAAGCACAGGGCCGCATGTGTCCAGGCCACCGTCACCGGTACCCGGACCAGCCCCCGAGCTGACGGCTCGGTTCGACTGCCCGGTGTGTTTGGACTACGTGCAGCACTGTAGTCAACCAAAATCCCGGACAATTGTGAAATTTGCCCGGCCATTTTTTTAGGTATGAAAACAGGACGTCTGATCACCCTTCCATATAAACAATTGACGTTTCAGTGAGTGAGTGCTTGTTGCTATGATGCGTCTTTGCTCAGCAGCATTGCTCGTTGTAAACCAACCAATCAGAGCACAGCTCATCTAAATATTCATGATCGTACCATAAAATGAAGAAAACCTGTCGTTTCATTCTAGGGCTTTTAACCAGGCTTGCATTAGGGCTCATTGAACAGCAAATATGCCTTTTTTAGCCCAACCAATGTTACACACCCTATTCAGAGACCTTAAGGTTCAAATACCCTCTATAATAATTTAATGGCCCCTTTAAAGTTGATGTCACCCATGGGGTAAATAATAGAGGGTCAGTTGTTTTCATGCCTATTATTGTTATTGTTGTTTTTTTAGTTATAGAAATGGACCTATAGATAGAGCTCTCAATCGGCTGTTACCTGTTGATTTCTAGTTAGTTTTATGGTTTTACATCAGTCGGTCTCTAAACAAGTCAATGTTGTTATTTGAATGTGTATTATTTTAGCTTAATCAAGAATAATTGCTGCTCTTCTAACTGCAGGTTGAGTTATTGGATTGGTTTCTACATTTTGCTTTAAATCTTTTTCTTCTGTTGCTTGTTTCTTCCTTTATTCTCTGTAATAATCAGAATCGGCTGTTTTCAGCCTCTCTTGTTTTAAATGAAGCTCCTGAACATAGAAGCTGTGATATTAATCGCCACTGTGTGTTTATGAAACTGTTCCAGCTCTAACGTTATGCTGGTCATGTAAAATGAAATTGTCTGAATGCTTTTTACTGCTAACATGAGCTTGTTTGTGATGATGTAGCCGATAACGGCGCTGAGGAGACGAGCGTATGGTGAGCTGCAGATCAGCGAGCTGAGTCACATTATCTATGTAGGACACACTGATTACTTGGCCTTAATAAATCACACAGGAGGCGTGTTGGAGTAGTGCAGTTATGTAACCAGCGCCTGGCCGTGTTGTGAATAGTGGAGGGACAGACAAAATGGGCTTAAGTGCAGCGCGTTAAAATATGTCTGCCTTCATTAGGGAATGTCTTGATAAGAAATGGAGATGTATAAATATAGAACAAACATTCATCCTTGATCTGGATCTTCATTGAAGTCTGCTGCTTCATTAAAGTTTTGTTTTTCTTGTTTTTTTTTTTTTTCTACTGATGCAGTTGA